TTAATTTCTAGCAGATAATTCAATGAGACTTGTCTTCACGTGTAATTTCATTACATCCAGTCATTTCAGTCCTTTGATTTTAGATTTTTTAAAGAAAAAAGTTGACATTTTTTGAGTAAACATGCATGGCTTATAACAATTCTTTGTAAATCAGTAGAAATATGTACTTTAAGTGAAAGTTTATAATAAGAAATAATCTACATAAGCTAATATCCTTTATTATGAGTAGTTAGCTTTTCCTGAAAATATCGTAAAAATGAAGTGAAAAGTTTTTATTTACATGTCATAACCACCTTTAACCAAGTTCATAATTTGGTAGTCACTTTTTATGTTTATTAGAAGTTTACAAACAAATTTTGGTGTTGGTTAAAGGTGGTTATGACATGTGTAGGAGTTACCTAACACACCCACCCTCTTGAGTTTTCCCATTGCCCTAATGCTAATACGGACCGATAGTACCTTACTTTGTGACCCTATATCATAACAAATACTATTGTATCTTTAACCAATCAACATTATTCAATAAATTGGAACATTCACCTACTGATTCATGCAATTTTTAAGGGAAAAAGTACTATTTGAAAATTTGAAGTCATTGTAGGCCGCAAAACAGCCTTAAAGAGAATGATCCTTTGATGATTCTAAGCCAATTAATACCTGAAATATTTAATTTATCATTTTTAATATGTATTAATGCACTGAAAATATATTTTTCTACCTGAAATAATGCATACAGTCCTTATCATTTACTCGTAGATCAACTGAGTAGGTGGAAATAACTTAATAAATCTATATAATTACACAATATCACCATTTTCAGAAAACTCAGGAAATTCAGATTAAAAATTAGCAATGTTTTTACAGGGCTTGAATTTTTATCTACCTGATGATGCTTCCATGTCAATATAACAAATGGCTTTGTTGTACTTGAGAAGATTTTAAAAAAATTTTCCCATATATTCCTTTGTAAAAATTTGATCCCCCATTGTGGCTCCTCCCTATCCCAGGGGTCATCATTTGAACAAACTTGAAACTACACTACCTGAGGATACTTCCATATCAATATGACTAAACATAGCTTTTCTGTTCTTGAGAAGAAATATTTTTTCTATATGTTCTTATGTAAAACTTTCGATCCTCCATTGTGGCCCCGCCCTACCCTCGGGGGTCATCATTTGAACAAACTTGAATCTACACTACCTGAAAATGCTTCCATATCAATATGACTAAACATAGCTTTTCTGTTCTTGAGAAGAAACATTTTTCTATATGTTCTTATGTAAAACTTTCGATCCCCCTATTGGGCACCACCCTACCCCGGGGTCATCTTTTGAACAAAACTGAATTTACACTACCTGAGGATGCTTCCATATCAAAATGACTAATAATGGCTTTGCAATTCTTCATCAGAAGAAATCTTCCTATATATTTCTATTTCAGACTTTGATCCTCCATTGTGGCCCCACCCTACCCCAGGGGGTCAACATTTGAACAAACTTGAATCTACACTACCTAAGGACGCTTCCACATAAATATGATCAATCAGGGCCTTGCTGTTCCTGAGAAGAGATTTTTTAAAGATTTTTCCTATATATTTCTATGTAAAACTTTGATCCTCCATTGTGGCCCCACCCTACCCCCGGGGGTCATGATTTGAATAAACTTGAATCTACACTACCTGAGGATGCTTCCATATAAATATGACTCATCACTGCTTTGCTGTTCTTGAGAAGAAGATTTTTAAAGGTTTTTCCCATTTTCTATGTAAAACTTTGATCCTCCACTGTGGCCCCGCCCTACCCCCGGGGGTCATGATTTGGACAAACTTGAATCTACACTACCTGAGGATGCTTCCATATAAATATGACCAATTAGAGCTTTGCTGTTGTTGAATAGAAGATTTTTAAAGATTTTTCCTATATATTTCTATGTAAAACTTTGATCCTCCATTGTGGCCCCGCCCTACCCCCGGGGGTCATGATTTGAACAAACTTGAATCTACACTACCTGAGGATGCTTCCACATAAGTTTTATATTTTCAAGCACATTGGTTCTTGAGAAGAAGATTTTTTAATGATGCCATTAATTTTTAACGAATTCACAATTATCTCCCCTTTGAACAAACTTGAATCCCCTTTACTCAAGGATACTTTGTGGCAAGTTTGGTTGAAATTGGCCCAGTGGTTCTGGAGAAAAAGTCGAAAATGTGAAAAGTTTACAGACAGACAGACGGACAGACAGACTACAGACAAAATGTGATCAGAAAAGCTCACTTGAGCCTTCAGCTCAGGTGAGCTAAAAATTAGGTCAAGGTGACCTCCTTTTCAGTTGAAGTACTCTGAGGACCCATGATGCATTAATTGACAAAGTTTGATCATCATGTGTTTTAAAGTGTCCAAAATGTGCATCTTAATCAATTCGAAAACAAATGCCTGCAAAATTCAAAAAGCAGGACACAGTGACGTACTTTTGAGTCAACATGATATGAGGTCTAAAGATGCATCAACTGACAAGATTTGATTATCCCATTCCTTATAGTAAGCAAAATATCAAAGAGCTTTAGCTCTTTGAGCCTTTGACTCAGAAGAGCTAAAAATTGGGTTACTGCAATATAGAATTTCACAATAATATAATGCAATATATTAAGATATATTTTCTATTAAATCATGATGGTAGTATGTAAATTTATTCTGCTGTAAAAGAATATAGTTCCCCTGACCTGACTAAATCATATGGAGTTACAGCATGAAATGCCATTGCTAAAGCTCAGTGAGAGCAAAAATTATCATCTGGAAATCATTCAATGCAATTTATGATTTTCTTACCTTGACATTTTGACCTTTACATCAATATGGTCTTGTTACGTTATATAGAGCTATGATATAAATTTCATTGCAAAAGCTAAACATAGGTAATCAGAGATTACAGAGCTCACCTCAACGAATGTTGTCTTTAAGTAAGGCAAAGTCCCACACTAAACTAATAATCTAGTAGTGTGCATCCATAGATTCAACATTTATGCAATTTGATAGGGCTTGCAGTTACTTGGGAATGGACTAATCTAAAAACTTTAAACTAGTCACTCATCATCAAAATGTAAGTCGAATCCAGCATCCAAAGCAAGTTTGAAAGTATTTATCCCTTTATGTATCATCCATGCAAGTTTGTTTCAGAGAGGCATTATAGTTTCTTGGCAATGGACCTGCTCCAAAAAACTTTAACCTGGTAACTCATCTTGAAAATGTAGGTCAGATCCAGCATATGAAGCAAGTCCAGTAGTGTGCATCTGTAGATGTATCATCCATGCAAGTATGGTCAATATAGGGCTTATAGTTACTCGGAAATGAGATCTGCTCCAAAAACTCTCACTTAGTCACTCCTTTGAAAAATGTAGGTCAGATCCAGCATCCGAAGTAAGTCCAGTAGTTTGCATCTTTAGATGTATCATCCTTGCAAGTTTGGTCAACATAGGACTTATAGTTACTTGGAAATGAAATCTGCTCCAAAAACTTTAACCTTGTCACTCATCTGGAAAATGTATGTCAAATCCAGCAACTGAAGCAAGTCCAGTAGTGTGCATCCTTAGATGTATCATCCATGCATGTTTGGTCAAACATAGGACTTATAGTTACTCAGAAATGAGATCTGCTTCAAAAACATTAACTTGGTCACTCATCTGAAAAATGTAGATTAGATTCAGCATATGAAGCAAGCCTTGTAGTGTGCATCCTTAGATGTATCATCCATACAAGTTTGGTCAACATAGGACTTATAGTAACTTGGAAAAGAGATCTGCTCCAAAAACATTAATGTGGTCAATCTTTAGCTGAAATTGCATCATCTGAAACCTTGACTGGTACAATGAAACACACTACAGGCATCCTCCATGCACCTCTGATTGATATAGGGCATAGAAGTACTTGAAAAGAAATCTGCTCCAAAAACTTTAACCTTGGATGCCGACGCTAAGGGTATTACATAAGCTTCCCCAACTTTGTTGAAGTTAGTTAAAAATCTTTATGAAATATTGTCCACAAACTTGAATGTTACACACAGACAGAATGACAGACAATTAACAACAGGCCCATGGGCCACAGAGCTCACCTGAGTAACTTTGGACCTGCTGTTCTTCACCATATTTCCCCCTTTTAATACTCATTGTGGCACCACACCACCCCAGGGGGCCATGATTTGAACAATTTAGAATCTACACTACCTCAGGATGCTTCCAGATATATTTCAGCTTTTTCTGGCCCAGTGATTCTTCAGAATATTTTTAAAGATTTTTCCTATATATTTCAATGTAAAACTTGGATTCCCTATTGTGGCCCCACCCTATCCCTGGGCAGTGATTCATTTTGGTCTGCGTCCTGTGTAAATTTTTGCTCAGGACGCATTATTTCAATAAATGTGCATCCCAATGGAAGCATTAAATTTATAGAATGAGATGTGTTATTCAAATTGTTTACGTATAATCTGATTCAAAACTTGACCGATTGAATCATATCCAAGTGCTAAGCGATATGCATGAGTGATTTTAACTGGTATAAGGTTGCCAACAACAGGTCAGATATCTCTTACGAGTGAGAAATTAATTGACAAACAATTGGCTACACCACCCAGCGTTTCACAACAGTTGATTTTCGGAAGCCAACAATTACCCAGGACTGCTATTGTCTTATGGTTTATGTGACCTCTGTGTTCACTGACGCGATGCAAAGTTTTTTTGCATGTGCTTGACTTAAAAAGCAAACAGTGTGACAAAGAAAACACAAGACATGTCCATTGCTAACTTTCAGACTTCTTAACTGGTCTTATGAAAAAAAAAAAAACAAATGCAAATGTTTATAGTTCCGGAATTTAACAATATATCAAGTCAATATATAATAATGGTTACCAATTTGGCGACTTATAGAGAAACGTTAGGTTCCAGTCAGAATTTTTAGGCTCCATGGCGACTAAATTAGTTGCCAATTAGAGCCCTGGAATGTATCACTTACCAGTTGTTTTGTTGTGACTTCAGTGGAATCCTCTAAATACTTTGCAAGAATTTGACAGGACTCTCTCATCTCTGGGTCTAATTCAAAGCTGCAAATAAGAAAATCAACTACAAGTTTTTGATAACCTTGTATATTAAAGTGGGATCATCAACCAATAAAAAGATTGAATACACTGATGCCAGACTAAGGTGTTCACATTTACAACATTTTTTTTTTATAAATGGGAACTACCTAATGTAGTTTCCATTCATTTAAGTAGATAATAAGTACACATAAACTTTGGACTGTATATTTCTAAATCAGCAGGACTTACAGAATTGTCAAGATATTCAGAGAGTCAAAATACTAGAGTTGAGATCTGCTACCTCCAAAATTTCAAAGCAAATCAATGACAGATTGTCAATAATCCTTTGCTTTGTAATAAATCCATATTTAGCACTTTTATTGTTAATCAAGAATTAACTGAAACATTGTAAACTAACTTATATACAAGAAATATCCAAGAGCTTTATGACCTAGATTTTCTGACATAACTCTATTGCTAGAAACTAACATTATATTTAAATTGTGTATTCATCATGATTCATGTAGAATGTTTCCTTGGTCACAAATACTAAAAGTTGAAGATGAATTTCAAACTGTTGATTTTGGAAAGAAAAGGTGTCAAAAATTGTAGTGTTTACAGTAATTTGAATGTCATTTTAATTCTAAATTGTTGTCTTTCTTCACATAAAAGGCTTTCTAGATCTACATTCAAGTAGTCCATTAATGTGTCAGGGTATATTAATGTCGAGCACAGTATTGGACATTCTGATTGCTTCACTTGTAACATTAAAAGATTGTGCACTTGTAATTTTTTTTAGTCATTTTTTGTTGTTGTTTTGCTTTATGACATCCTGTGATGATCCAGCATCCAAATTCAAAAACTTGAAAATACTCCAATCATAATACTGATCATTCTTTGGCTAAAAATTCAGCAACTTCAACTGGACTCTGGTATAATGAAACATACTAGGAGCATCATTCTTGCAAAAACAATCAATATAGGGCATAGAAGTACTTGAAAGGAATAAAACAAATCTGCTCCAAAAACTTAAACTTGGGATGCTGTGGGTTTTACATAAGCTCCAACGACTTTGTTTAGGTAAGTTAACAAGAGGCCCAAGGGCCTTAACAGTCAACCGAGTATTACACTGTAAAAGAATAATAAAAGTATAAAATGAAGTAAAAATAAAGTGACAGATGTAGATATAAATGCAAGAGAAATAAGATTATCAGGGACCAACAAAGTAGTTAGTCTAATACTCATTTGCAAACCATAATACTTGCCAGTGCTAATATACTCTCATTTGTCACTATCACCATGTAGACTAAACAAAACAACAGTGCTTGAGCTAATATTGTAAACCCATCACACTCACTCTCACATTGGCTTCTCTTGGTCTTTGAAGAACCTTTTTAAAGTACAAAGATATTCATGTAGGTATTTCTGTCTCATTTTTAGATGGGTAATGTGACCCATCTATTAGTTTACTGTTCATTCCATATAAATTTAACTGATCATGACTTTGCTGTTCTTCTTCAGATTTTTACAAATCTTTCCTATGTATTTTTATGTGAAAGATTGATTGTCCATAGTGGCCCCTCCCTACCCCTCAAGTTCATTATTTGAACAAAGAAAGATGGCGTACAAGGTAAGGACAATCCCCCGCTCTGAGAAAATATTTTTCTCAATTTTCAAAGTTCACGTAAAAAGTATATTTTTCCAAAAAATTGTGTTTTGAGTAATGGCATCTTCAACACATATGATTCATTTATTTTATTGAAAGACTTATTGGTTGATAATAAGTAGTTAAAGTTGCCAGTTTAACATATTCTGAATCAGTGGAAAATGGAGCCATAAAAAAATGATTTTTGAATATGAGTGGGTCAAGTCTCCATTCTACATTAATGTTAAAATGATGGAAAACAAATATACAATCTATTATATGTTTCAAAAAATGGAGTCTGAATCCATTTTATATGAAAATCAAACATTTCTGAAAAAAATTACACTTAAACAAACTCATTTATTTAAATCACACTGACAAACATCAATGACAAAAAGACTTTGTGGCTTAGTGGTTAACACATTCAGTCTTATGCCTAACCATGAACTTTGGAGAGTTCGAATCATGTGTGAGGCTTTTTTTCTTTTCATATACACACTTAAACACATATGTAAAATAATAATTTATCAAAAAGTTATTCAATAAAATAAAGGAAGCAAATGTGTGAAAGATTATATTGATGATACAATTTTTAAATCAAAAGCCTGAAAGGCTTCAATGACATCGAACAAGAAAAATAATTTCAAAAGAATCTGACGATAGCAATAGGTCGAGTGAGTGACTCAGGTGACATAATAATAATAATGAAAAAATAGTTTTAAACAAAATGTCACAATTACAGTCTGGGGCCTTATGTCATGGTCTGAATGGAGCAGGGTTCGAATTGACCAGACACCGTCGAACATGTTCATGCTAAATATCAAACTATTATCTTTTCAGTCAATTGAAGAACTCTGAAGGACTTCATGAATTTATATACTATTCTTTCTAATTGCCAATGTCAAAGCGTTGTTTTAGTGATTGCATCTAAACTACAACCATGACTCTGCTCTGTTACAAGTACGATCGAGTTACGATAGGGCGTGGTATATTGGAGGAAATGGAGAAATACAGTAATACTGGTCAACATCATCGGTTTTTAGGATAAAGTTGGTCAGAAGATTGTAAAAGTAAAGCTAAGATTTAGAAATTCAATCTTTTCAGTCTTATAGTATTCGTGTTTATGTAATTTTGTAATTATTTTACCACCTGTTGGTTGTTTGTGTTCCACGGTTATCGTTCCAAAATGTTATTCATGTCATTCGACGCACCTTTCTGTAGAAATTCATCCACAACAACCCTCACATTTTTATTGTGTGAAAATAAAACATAATATCGTTGTTTTGTAAAAGAATCAATTGTAGATACAATTGATGCAATTTTATTTTCAAGCTATAATTATTCATTGTGAGCATTTTTAAAAGAAATTGGTTTATAGCTATTGCTATTTTCTATTGCGGATGCATCATGACTTGAACAAACTTGAACCCACATCACCTGACGATGCTTCCATATAAATATGACCAATCATAGCTTTGCTGTTCTTGAGAAGAAGATTTTTGAAAATTTTTCCTAAATACACCTATGTAAAACTTTGATCGTCCATTGTGGCCCCACCCTACCCCTGGGGATCATGATTTGAACAAAATTGAATCTACACTACCTGAAGATGCTTCCATTTAAATATTACCAATCATTGCTTTGCTGTTCTTGAGAAGAAGATTTTTGAAGATTTTTCCTATATATTGCTACGTAAAACTTTGATCGTCCATTGTGGCCCCACCCTACCCCTGGGGGTCATGATTTGAACAAACTTGAATCTACTCCACCTGTGGATGCTTCCATATAAATATGACCAATCATAGCTTTGCTGTTCTTGAGAAGAAGATTTTTCCTATATATCCCTATGTAAAACTCTGATCGTCCATTGTGGCCCCACCCTACCCCCGGGGGTCATGATTTGAACAAATTTGAGTCTACACTACCTGACAATAATTCCACATGAGTTTCATCTTTCCTGGCCCATTGGTTCTTGAGAAGAAGATTTTTCAATAATGCCATTAATTTTTTGATATTTCGTAATTATCTCCCCTTGGAGGGGGGCGTGGTCCTTCATTTGAACAAACTTGAATCCCCTTTACCCAAGGATACTTTGAGCCAAGTTTGATTGAAATTGGCCCAGTAGTTCTGGAGAAGAAGATGAAAATGTGGAAAGTTTACGACAACGCCAACGACAACGACGACAGACAATGGACAAATTTCGATCAGAAAAGCTCACTTGAGCCTTCGGCTCAGGTGAGCTAAAAATGATTAATAATAGCTTTCCTGTTTTTGAGAAGAAGACTTTTAAAGATTTTTCCTATTTATACCCATGTAAAACTTTAATCACCCATAGTGGCCCAACCCTACCACTGGGGGTCATGATTTGAACAAATTTGAATCTACACTACTTATGGATGCTTCCATATAAATATGACATGATCCTAGCTTTGATGTTCTTGAGAAGAAGATTTGAAAGATTTTTCCTATATATACCCATTTGTAAAATTTTGATTACCAATTGTAGCCCCACCCTACCCTGGGGGTAATGTTTTGAATAGGGATGTCAACGAATATTTGAGTACTCGACTATTGTTCGATCATACCGACTATCGACTGAAATTTTTTTAGTCGGTTATTCCTTAAAAATTTGCTACTTATTAATAATCTTAAATTCAAGGTAAAAAAAAGAAGTGGATCTGCTCAGTTCATTATTAACGTATCAGAGTTCAGTGTTCTCGTGAGTAAAACTCAGGGAAAGGCTTATCCGATCTTCAATAATTGTTCAAAGGATTTTTTTGTTCGCCAAACATACATTGGCATACTTTAAAAGATGTCAGATCCAAATTGTAAAGTTTCAACAGGTTGGAGAGAATACTCGAAATCGGGTATTATCCGTGAAATCGCGTATAGTCCCTGAAATCGGGGTATCATTGTATCCGCGAAATCGGGTATAGGCGGTATAATCACTATATAAAACTTAAACAATGGGATGGCGCATTTTGCCGAGTCAATTTCCACCTAGAGACAAATATTATCTAAAGGTATTACTAGTCAAGTAATGATCTGGAAGTCTGGAATAATGCGCATATGACAACAAATACCCGTGGAGCTTTGTACATTTCATGGTCTGCTCCCAAACAGGCGTTCGTTCTGCTTTATATTTTTTATAATGTTAAAAGTATTTGCAACTTCTTCAAAGTCATACCCAACACAACAAAACTGTAAAATATCCAAAGTCGGGAATTTATAATATTTCCACATCAACACGACAAACATGAACAATTTGTAAATAACTTAAATTATACGGAAACACATTTCACACACAAAATAATGTCAGGTGTAAACAGGGGACTGTCTATTTTATCCAATCATGCGTCATTAATTGCTTTTACATTCA